TAATAAGCTTAATATTCAAAAGCTTTTCCACACAATAAATAACTTACAAAAATTAGTTTAAATATTTTGCTCATTCCAGGTTGTTTTTGTGTGTTTATTACTATTACTATTACTATTACTATTTATATATCATGTGTAAAGAAAGAAATACACATATTTTAGTAGTTATGCTCAAAAATGTTCATTTGGGTATGTAAGTGTAGGGATAAAAGATTTGTAGCCACTGGGATATAAGATGGGTTGAGATCAGTCACTGGACTTTTCGAGGCAGTCGAGGCTCCTGGAAGAGGGGAAGGATTATTAAAGAGAAATGGAAAGCTGCACTAGTTAGCACCCATTGTGCTATCCTTTATTTAGTATCCATTGATGATTTTTCAATTCCATTATTCTTTTCATACTTACTGTCAGTCTAGGATAAACAGGAGCTTTCTCTTCTCCCCTACCGATTTACTTATTTATTTATATCAACAAGGATTCATAAATTCTTCATTTATTCAAAGGGTTATAATTCTTAATGATTACATCCCTATTTCATCTTCCCTTCTTTATCTTCTTCAACAACTATAATCATTTTCTTTCTTCATATCAAAGCTAAAACCCCTTCCTATTGAAGACTTCTGTGACCCTTCTAGCATCTTGTCTTCCCTTGGTTACCATAGTTCCTGTGTCTTTCCTGTGCCTTTGATTTAACTGTTTCATGTATAAAAGTTTCATGACCTCAATCAGACTATAAAACCTTGAAGGAGAAGATCAATGTTTCCTCCTTCTTCATACTTCCTCTTTAATATGTTCTTGTTGAAATCATAGAAAAGAAAAACACCGTGCCCTCTTTATATTCGATGTCGCAAGACTAACAAATTAATAGTAGATACCATGCAGATGTTACATTCAAATAATTTAAATGGAAACACTAATGTAAACCCTAGATTTTGAACACAGATTAAAAGGCAAAAGCCAATGCATAAGAATATGAAAATTAAATATTTTTTATTCCTGACTGAGAAAACGGAATCTGTGTCTTACTTCTGACTATCCTAGCAGCAAGAAAAAGAGGGTAGTATGAATTGTTTAGTAGAAGTAGGTCTACTATGGCAGTAAGGGAGACCAACTTTTCCTTGACCATGAATTTCTAAAAGAACGTGCTACCTAAACAAGTACACTGGGCTAAATGTCTTGAATAACAGCTTTACAAAATGAGCCAATATGACTCTTTCAGATGAAAGAAAATTAACTTATAATTTTGGGGGTGAGGAAGATGAGGATTATATAGTGTAGACAGATAACTTTCTGGTGGTCAGGCTCAACCCAGGTATAAAGCTTAGAAGATCTTGAGGAGCGAATGGCAATCAGAACCCTAGGCCAGTTTTCTCGCTGACAGGAGACATACTGAAGACAAAATCTGGGTCACCTAGCAGATACCTGAAGGCCAGGGATTCTCTTTTATCGAATCAGGAAAGTTCATTTGCACACTGGATAGCAACATGTAAAAGGAGAAGAGGATGTTTGACCATGAAGTCAGAGAGCCAGACTTGTAGTTCCATTGTAGTGGAATCCCTTCTCTACTCCCACATGCAGCTGTGCTGCAGGATGACCGATAAGCCAGACCAGGATTGTTCTCAAAAAAACAGCTCTGCATATGCCCAGATGCTTGAACAAGTACTAGGTAGAAGCCCCAAGGTTTGGGTTCTTAAAGGATGAATTATAAACTTCAATGGGGTGTTTCTGAGTTCAGGAGGAACAAATGCTCACCACTACCATATACTGTATAAATACCGTATAAATACTCCTAAATAGATTTTACTGTGCACAGGCTGTGTTTTGATGAGCTTTCCAGGATAAATTAGCCGCAAAATGAGGTCTCAGATACTTACTTAAGAAAACCTACTTCATATCATTGCTTAGAATTCTTTGTCTGCATACTACAGTGCATCTGCCAGAGTTGATAAAAGGGATTTTGGTGTAGCTAATATTTAGATATTTTTCCTGAGAGTAATTAGTCAATATTTACTCAACAAATATTTCTGGAGTACCACCTATGTGCTTATCAAACAGATTAAGCTTTGACAAAAATCTGTTCACCTATACACCAGGCTCTGATTAGAAGGAATTTTCTAATTGTTGAATTTTGCAATTTCAGGAAAGGGACAGGAGGGCTGCTTTATTCAAGTGAAAGGTGGAGATGGGGTTAAAAAAAAATCCTTTGCTAGGCCCTTCTGCTTAAGGGAACACACACATGGTTTGCTGGCTTGAGCCGCGTTGTATGCCATTCCCCTGTACTCTTCTTAATAGTGCATATTCCTAAACCTTCCATCTAAACCATCCCATTTCTGAATCTCTAAACAACCCTTTCCTGGTAACTCTTGAGGACTTAATGTGTATGTTCGTTGGCTGGCTCTCACTTTACTTATATGGTTCAAATTGCTTCTTATAACCTGCCATGAGCCTCATGCTCTGGTGTGCTCAAACTGCTGCTAATGTATTCTCATCCCAAAGAACTGGCTGGTGCTTCTCAGTTTCTTGCCTGCATTAAATTATTGCTTTAACAGATAAATTATCAACATTTTGAGAATGTTAACTTTTTTAGTATTTCTTTTCCTCCTTGCTTTTAAGGCAGGTTTAACAACTTACTTTCATCCTGGAATAAACTTGAAGAAAATACACTATGATAGCATCAAACTGTATGAGAAACTGGAAGAAGAAACTGGGCAGGTAAATGCATTTGACTTAAAACCATCTTTTAGGTCCATCTCTCAGAAACATGTATGATTCTGAAGGATTCTGACTAATCATCACGTGTGTAGTGACATTGCTGCCATGTGTAGCGTTTAATGTGGGAGAGAAATATGATGAGAGTTTATAGAAAAGAACCTCTAGAGTTTGCTTGAAAATCGATTTAATTTCTTGAAGTGTGTTATCCATGTAATTAACTCTTTTTATATTTTAAATGAAGAAAGAATAAAAAGGAACTTTCAAAAATATCTTTAGCCAGTTACTATATCTAGAAACTAAGAAATTGGAGCCCTTCTTCGATTGGATTGCAAAGGATCTGAGAGCAGTGTGTGCCAGATTGTCACGCGGCTTTGAAAAGTGCTTCACTAAAAACTCCCCCCAATTTTTATTTTTATCTGTTCTCATATTTACTTGTACTCTCAAAATAAAGTGGCAGGCAGAGGGTATTCATAGGCTTCAATGATAAGATTGAAATCTACTCAAATTTGTCATGCTGTCTCCCTTGCTTAAAACCATCAAATGGCTCCCCACAGTCTACAGGATAAAGCAATGGATTAGCAATGGCCTTAGGAGCATGACCTTCATTGGCTGACCCCTGCCTGCTGCCCCAACATTTTCTCTTGCCACTCTTCCCTTGGCTCATATGCTTCAGCTGTTCTCAATTACATTCTGGAATGTGCTGAGCTCTTTCAAATCACTGTTTTTTTGTTTGTGTTGTGTTCCGTTTTCCCTGCTGTCTCCTCTGCCTGAAAGTACACTTCCCTGGCCCCAGCTTCAGCATTCACCCTCCACCCTTCCTCAGGAGTCACCCCTGGGAGAAGGATTCTTGACTATCCCTGCCTGCCCAGTATGCCAAGCTAGGGACACATCTCTTGGTTCTAAAAGCAGTTGAGCACACTCCCTCTCACAGCATCTCTATTGTAATTATGGCTTTACTGCTTGGTTTTCCCTACAGATTATGAGCAACTTGCAGGCAAGGACTACATCTTTTCTCTCTGTAACCCAGGGCCTACCCAAGTGCTTGGAAAACCAAAGGACTTCAGTAAATGTCAAATGAACATTTAATTGAATTCAGACCTAATCTCATCATCACAACATTTTGAGTCTTCATAATCTCTCCACAAATCCTTTATCTTTCTCTTTTTCACATAATTTTCTTTCACTCTGTGCATTAACACTCATCCTATGTTATTGCAATTATGCATTTAGCTGTCTCTCTTCAGCTATAGAATGTAAGTTCTACCTAGGCAGGGGCTTTGCTTTTCTTGTTCACTTTGACATCTCTGGGCCTGGCACAGAGGAGGCACTTAGGGAATACAGTAATTGCTGAATGAATTGTCTTTTTATAAGATGCACATTTTTATATAGTTATTTCTTTTGCTCATAGTAAATCTCTTTTCTTATATAGCTCGATTTTCATTGTGTTGGAGAAGAACCATGTTTGAGTGCCAAATAATGATTTATTTATGGACTTTTATTGGAATTATTGTCACAGATGGTGGGATTCCATCAGCCAGGTAGTATCAGACTTGCTACAACTCCTGTGAGGGTAGATGAATTTAAATATCAAATGACTCGGACTGGCTGGCATGCAACAGAACAGTATATTATTGAACCTGAAAAAATTCAAGAAATGTTCCCTTTACTCAACATGAATAAGGTATTTGTCTTAAGGGCATTTTCACCATTTGTTGACTTGAATTAAAATTAGAAAAAGTTATTTTAAGAAGTTAATTTAAAATAGAAAAGAGTTGTACACACATTTTGAATGGCAAAATCAGA